CTAAGCCTTTGATAGCCGCTAAACCGCTAATAGCGCTAATCCACTAAGCCGCTAATAGGGTTGCTTCGCAAGACGAAAAAACTGCTAAACGAAGAGACTCGCGGAACGGATTAATTTCGTCTTGCGAGGCACCACTGTATGCTCCTTTGAAAGACAACCTGATCACCTCAATCCAGCACACAACTCTCCACTGAAACAATAGCAGATTCAAGCACCAAAACTTTCTGTTTCCAGGTATGATTGCTGTGTTAGTTGTATTGTGGGGAAAATAACAAAGAGCTCCACTGAAACTTACACATTTATTATGAAATAAGCTTTCACAATTTTGGACCCACTTCATCAGATAGATTTTGTATTAAGGGTGTGCTGCAGATTCAGACAAATTGCAAGCTGTGAGCTGAAGCATACCACTTCAGAGAGATTCTGGACTTGTCCAAGGCAAATGTAAATAATTCGTTTTCTAAACCAGACAGACACTTTTTGTGATCTACCAAGCCAAAGTTTAGAGTCCATTAGCCACACAGAGTAGCTCACCAGGGACTTGACATAACCATTTGGCTGCCTGCCTGAATTGCTGGGCACTTCCCAGACTATAATCCATAGCTGGTAGGCTGCATCCAGTCAGTTCAAAAGTTACAGTATGCAGGCAGATCTAGGTTGCAATGTATGTAAAAGGTAAAGGAACCCCTGACCATTAGGTCCAGTCATGGCTGACTCTGGGGTTGCGGAACTCATCTTTCTTTATTGGCCAAGGGAGCCGGCGTACAGCTTCCGGGTCATGTGGCCAGCATGACTGAACCGCTTCTGGCGAACCAGAGCAGCGCACAGAAATGCCGTTTACCTTGCTGCCTATTTATCTACTTGCACTTTGATGTGCTTTCAAACTGCTAGGTTGGCAGGAGCATGGACCGAGCAACGGAAGCTCACCCCGTCGCGGGGATTTGAACTGCCGACCTTCTGAATGGCAAGTCCTAGGCTCTGTGGTTTAACCAACAGCGCCACCCATGTCCCGCAATGTATGTAGGGGTGAACAAATAGGAGAAAGACCATAGCTCAGGGACTGGACACCTGCTTTGCATGCAGAAGGTCTCAGAGTCAATCCCCAGCATCTCCAGGTAAGACTGGGAATGTCCCCTGTTTGAACCCCTGGAATGCCACTTCTGTTCAGATGAACCAATGGTATAAGGCAGCTTCCCGTGTCTCTTTGTCCAATCTATATCTGGTTTGTTTCATGGAATCATGGATCATAGAACTGTAGAGTTGGAAGGGACCTCGAGGATCATCTAGTCCAATGCTCTGTAATGTGGGACTCTTTTGCCCAACATGGGGCTTGAACTCACAACTCTGAGATTAAAAGTCTCTTGTTCTACCGACTGACTCTTTCACACATTTTCATGCACTTCCTCAGTGCGTGAAAAATATAATCTGCAGGAGAAGCCAAATTTTGCTGCATGTCTAACGACTTTTCATTCCATTTTATTTCTTTAATACAATGTATGTGCCTGTAATAAGACCTCTAGGTGGTTTACAAGAACTATTAAAATTATCCAATAAAAACAGTTAAATGCAAATAATGGAAAAGATTGAAAGGATAATTAGAATTAACAGTAAAAGATTAAAACACATCAACATCTATGCGTCTGGATAGGCTTGTCAAAAAGAGTACAGGAAAGGTGCCTGCATGATGTCAGTGAGTTCCAAAGGTGTCAACACTCTAAAATATAAATTTCTTACAACTCCAGAACAAGTATTACGTGGTGCTTGTGTCAGATCCACAGTTCGAAGCGGTCCAGTGGGCACCTATAGGATAAGGTGATCCTGCAGGTAAACAGATCGCAAGCCATTAAGGGCTTTATATACCAATAGTAACACCTTGAAGTCAGCCTGGTAAAAGTTGTTAACCAGTGCAGATCTCTAAGGTATTTTATGCTGACAGGGTTTCACTCCTGCCAGCAACTCCGCTGCAGCTTCTGCACTAACTGTAGTTTCCGGGTCAAGAACAAGTTAAGCTCCACATAGAATGTATTGCAGTAATCCAATCTTGAAGTTGCCAGTGCCTGAACTACATCTTTATAAATGAATCTGCTCTCAAAATATACACTTCTAAATGTATCTTTCTCTGAAAATATGGACTTCTGGACGCAATTTGATCTCTTCAAAGAACTGCATTGCAACATTCAGGAAGTGTGAAAGCTAGGGTTTAAGTAAGGTCTGGTCTGTATATTAGCCTGGGAGGTATGGATCAGGTTAGTTCACAAAGCTTGAATTCTTTATACATCCTTTGAAATAACAGACATGCCAGCGTACCGTCACAAAACAAAAGGCACAGTGGTTGCAACAAAATTAAACAGGGACAAATGTTTAGAGATGGGAATGCCAGTCAATTTGTGCACACACAAAATAATATCCTTCATTTATTGCCCAGTAAATGCCAAGTTTTGTTGAATCGTTATTTGCTAGCATCTGCACTGCAGACAGATCATAATACCTAGGGCCAGTATTAATAATAATGGCATGCAGTGATCATGGCTATTAAAGCACATTGCTTCTCAAATGAGATTATAATTACTTCTGGGTGAAATGGGATACAAATTCACAGTTTTATACCCTGCTAGGCTCTTTTAGTAGTTCAGCAGAATTTGTGCATGCCAGGAAGCGTCACTACAGATAATTTGGATAATCTTCCGTCCAATTATGACAATTGCTATCTATTGACACTGGCAACATTAAGAGATGGCCTGAGAAGTCTTGGGGTTTTGGCAGAATAATAATATTATGGCATGGAGAAAATCTGTGATGGAGGGTGTGAAGTTCAAAGGGAGGACGAGATAGGGCTTCATAATCACCCCACCTCTTTCTTCAAGGGTTGAGCCAGTTTGAGTTTTGAAGATAATATGAGGACATAGCTTCACCAGAAAATAATTACGCATGAAAACTCATCAGAAATTGGAGCTGAAATGCTTCTGTAATTTCCTTCATATTGCCACTTTATGGAGTCTAGCAGTATGGAACTTTTAAATCTCTGGCCAAGGAGGTGGGGACCCTCCTCTATGCCAGCTAGCTGTGAGGCAGTGATATTGAATCACCCCTACCATTTACGTATCAGAAATTGATAGCTGTCATATTTCTTGATGATGGTGATGCTCCCAAGAGCACTTAAGAACAAAAGAACATTAGAAGAGCCCGCTGGATGAGGACAATGTCCCATCTAGTCCAGCATCCTGTTCTCACAGAAGCCAACCAGATGCCCGTTGGAAACTCAAAAGCAGAACCTGAGCATAAGAGCACTTGCCCCTTCTGCAGTTTCCAGCAACTGTGGAGGCAGACCACAGCCATCATGGCTAGTAGGCATTTTCAGAAGTGCACTAAGTAGTAACAAAGGAGAGGACTTTGTGGTGGTGGCACCTTGGTTAAGGCAACTGAAAACAAAATGTCAATAGCTGTTTTAGATTAGCCTTCAGCAACAACACTAGCTGCTTAAACCAAACGTATTTCTTCCAGCCAAACACCACAGATAGATTGTTTGCGGAACCATCTTTATATTGCCTTAATCAAGAAAGAGATGCAAGCTGCGTATGGGAAACACTGTTCTTCCTGAAGCCCAGGCTTTGTGATGGGAAGTTATTCTGAGTTAGTTGTCACCCATCAAGGGGCCTGAAAATGGGACTCTAAGGATCCCATTCATTATAGCCAATGTGTTTTCCACTTGGGCTGCTCCAGGCCTCTGTCATTTCCCGTTGAAACCCTTCCACCTGGAACAGCTCTGACAAAAAATGTGCACTGAAAAATATGTGATTACTGAATTGGTTAACAGCAACAATTTAAAGTGGAATAAATGATTGGTCAATAGAGCATATTTGAATTCTTTTTTTTTTTTTTTTGTAGTAGCAGTACTTCAAAGAGCCATATCACAAAATGGCTGTGCTGTACCTTATAGAAAACGTATATGCTTTGAAATAACTGCAATTTTCTGCTTCTGCGTATGCAGAGTCTTATCTGCTGACATCAGCCACAAAAATAAGCCATCAGGCTTTTTTATTTCTCTCACTTCTGCAGCGCCAACACATCTATCAGAATATGAGTTAGAAGCAGCAGGACCCAATTCTTTCCGCAGTTATTCCTGGGAAACCTTACCATAGGTAATGGGATCATAGAAGTGTACAATAGCTGAGTGCAGCATTTAATCTGCAGAATATTTATTAACATCAGCAACATGTGAACCCAGGTTCAGTTTCAGAACAAGCAGTAAGGCTGAGACTTTTAGATATCACCTTTAGATTTGTAAGCAAAAAAAGTATTAGCATTTAAAGTAATATGATTTTGTCCATAGAGGTTGCTCCCTCACTTTGAATGCTGGATGCGTTCTGCTGCAAGCGACTAAGATTGTTTAGTTGATTTTAACTACAGCTGAGTCAAAACCATTCTGACATGTGAAAAGCTTTGAAATGGATTTGGCTTCTCCCCAAAGGATGCATACATATTAGGTATATGGTTTTCAGCATAGCACAATTAAATCACAGATTTAATTCACCACTTCCTTGATGATCTGTAAAGAAGCTTCCACCGTAATCCAGTGGCATCTTGAGTAGGTATGGAGGATAAATGTGATTCAGCACACATTTAAAGCTGAATCCATCAAATTTGCCCTTTGGTGGACGTGCCCAAGGATTAAGGCTTTCTGGGAAATGATAGATAATGAATTGAAAAAGGTATTTAAATATACCTTCTTGAAGAAACCAGAGGCCTTTCTCCTAGGCATAGTCGGCCAATTGGTGCCAAAGAAGGACAGAACTTTTTTTATGTATGCCACAACAGCAGCAAGAATTCTTATTGCAAAGTATTGGAAGACACAAGATCTACCCACCTTGGAAGAATGGCAGATGAAGGTGATGGAATATATGGAATTGGTGGAAATGACTGGCAGAATCCGAGACCAGGGAGAAGAGTCGATGGAAGAAGATTGGAAAAAGTTTAAAGACTATTTACAGAAATATTGCAAAATTAATGAATGTTAGAATGATGTTGGATAGAAACTAAGTGGTCTTTAGCTGAAATGTTATAAGGGAATATGAAAAAATGGTTTATTAATAGGTAAAAATCTAAAATTACAATATTTTATGATTAATGATTAGGATACATAAAGAGGGGAGGGATTTGTTGAACCAATAACTGAACTGGAATACAAAAAAGGGAGGTGTGAGGAGGTCCTGGAAATAAGCAAATGAAGGATAAGTAATGGAAGGAATGAATTGTTTTTAACTATTTTTACTTTGTATTTTTTCCTTTTTTCTTTTTTTTTTGTCTTGTAATATTCTGAAAATCTTAATAAATATCTTATATATAAAAAAAACAAATTTGCCCTTTCCAAAACAATACGTGAACTGCAGGACTGCCATCCCTCCAAATTCACACTTATTCGAATTTTTCCAGACAGTTCTCCAACCAAACAATGTTTGCAAAAATAATCTATTTGGGGAAAGTGGCCATGAAAATAAAGACATGGGTGAAATAACACAGAAAAAATACATAATATTAGGAGAAATTTGTTGCAAAAAATGTGTTGAGGGATTCACACATAAGGCCTAGAGAGGAATGCTATGTTTCAATTCACAAATATACAGTGGTACGTCGGGTTAAGTACTTAATTCATTCTGGAGGTCCGTTCTTAACCTTAAACTGTTCTTAACCTGAAGCACCACTTTAGCTAATGGGGCCTCCTGCTAACGCCACGCCGCTAGAGCACTATTTCTGTTCTCATCCTGAAGCAAAGTTCTTAACCTGAAGCACTATTTCTGGGTTAGCGGAGTCTGTAACCTGAAGCGTATGTAACCTGAGGTACTACTGTATTGCTGCACCTGAGTAACAGAGCAATGTAGCAAGCAGCATAGTATGTAGACTATAGAGCAGAGGTGGGGAACCTGTGGCCATCCAGATAATGTCACACTGCTCTAGCCAACACGGCCTATGGTCAGGGATGATCAGCAGCAACTGGAGACCCACAAGTCCCCCATCCCTGCTGTAGAGCTTCAAGCTCTGCTGAGAAAAGCTCCACCCTCTATAGGCTCCGCCCACAACCAGTCGTCAACTGGCAGCAGCTATTTCGCTAGTCTGCCAAAGAGAAGAACGACAACTATTTTAGCGGTGCTTATGGGATATTTAGAGGGAATGTCATTTGTTGGTGGGGAGGAGAGTTAAATATTTTTTTCTACTGTTCAGAATTTCAGGCGTGGAGCAGATTAGGAAAGAAATATCCTGTATGGATTGCTATAAGAAAGAGTCAGCAGTATCCCATGACAGTCATTTCAATGTATCTTTGTAAGATTCTTTTTGGACAGTAATTTGAACAGATCACACTTCAAAAATATATTGGTGATCACAGCCTGGTTGCATGACAGGGTAACTACCGTGGTACCTCTGGTTACGAACTTAATTCATTCTGGAGGTGCGTTCTTAACTTGAAACCATTCTTAACCTGAGGTACCACTTTAGCTAATGGGGCCTCCCACTGCCGCAACACCGCCGCCACGGGATTTTTGTTCACATCCTGAGGTAAAGTTCTTAACCTGAGGTACTACTTCTGGGTTAGCGGAGTCTATAACCTGAAGTGTTTGTAACCCGAGGTACCACTGTACTGCTTTTAAAATGGACTTCTGAATGCCCCATACATGTGATATATATTATATAAAGGTACCACATATCAGCAGCTATTTTTCTTGGCACTCCTCTCTCCAGCCTATTAGAGTTGTATGCATTAGCAAGCTGGACAGAAAATAATATATTAATGAGTGTGCTATTGTTTCAGACAGCAATCTTGTCATTTCAACGGTACTTTTATAAATATAGCTATTATAATAAATTGCACATCCCAGCTTTATAGTGACATATAAGTTTGAACAGTATGTCCAACTTTACTCTTCTCATCTTGCAAACTTTACTACAAAGCACTGGAAACAAAAACAAAAAACAGATTCCGGAATGTATTAAGGAAGTAGTGTTAATCTTAAGGGCTGCTTGAGCTGTTGAGGCTGTGCAGTGATTATCCATGCTGCTTTAGTGTTGCCAAAGCTATACAGCTACACACAAATGGAAAGGGAAAACACCCACCCAAGCTTGTTGACAAATAAGCCTAATTCTAAATCCTATTTGAAGCTCCCATAGAAGACACAATCTTCATTCCAGGATCAGCCCATTACTGCAGCTTTCAAATAAATGCCCATGCTGGGCACTCAGTCACACTATTGCAAACCTTAGCATTTACATAATGACCGCTCCCCACTTAAAACGGGGGGCGCCCTTTGCGTGGACGTGCGCAGCCCCTAGATCTGGAGCGGCTCCAACAGCATAGGCTTGGTTTGCCTTCCCTCAGGTGGGATACCTGGAGGTCTCCACCTACCTCAGTCAGTTGTCCAATCCCACTTGGGGGAAGTGTTGCCAAGGAGACTAGGCCAGGTAGGGGAGGGATTACCTGCCCACACAATAGAGGGAGGATCTTACCTGGGAATCCTCACTTGGCTCCAGAGCTTCTCCCACCCTACCCACCCTCAGTTAATGTCTTATTTGCAGGTTAACTTTTCTTCACAGGTTTTGCAGGTTAACTTTTCTTCGCAGGTATGCGGGCGCTGCTATGTTAAGGTCGCTGTTAAAGGGCCGGAAAGGAATTTCCCTGCATTGGCAGGTTCACCTTTCCCGTAGCAAAACGTCACAACTTTGGTGGTATCAGGCCTTGGGCGGAATCCTTTAGTCCATCTTCCTCTTTGCGGCGGCGATACCAGGGTTCGCCGTTAAAGGGGTTTCTGAAGGGAGGCTTTGACCGTACGCCGAAAGGTCGTCATTGCTCTCCCCTGCGGCGGCGCCGTAACGGGGGCGGCTATCTCTGCTTGAACATATGTTCTCCAGAGCCGGCCCATCCCCCCCCACTGGATAACCCTGATGCTCCCTAGGTCCCCGGCTGGGGACTGGGGAGGGAGAACGCCCAATGCCTGAGCCAAGGTCTACCCACATTTGAAATTTAATAAAGTTGTGGCCAATTTAATCCCATAGCACGTTGTCATGAGTCGTTATTCCACATGATGGGGGGACCGCCCGGGATCTGGGGACTCCGCCTGTCCACGCAATGCATTTTGAGTTGGAAAAGCAGCTTTTTGGGGGAAGGGGGACTGACCTTTCTTCCAGCAGCTGGATCTGCAGACAATATTCCTATGCAGCCAACTGAAATCCAAGAAAACCTAATCAGTCAGCTCTTCTGCACAAAGCTGATAATAGTGATGTTTCTATTGTCTGTGATTCTTCCATTTGGAACCTCAGCAACTCTGAATGCTCACCTTCATCTAGTGTACATTTCATCCCTCCCTAATCCTGAGCAAGAGGCTAACATTTCCAAGCACAATTCAAAGTGTTGGTGCTGCCCTTTAAAGCCCTAAATGGCTTCGGTCCAGTATACCTGAAAGAGCATGTCCACCCCCATCATTGTGCCTGGACACTGAGGTCCAGCGCCGAGGGCCTTCTGGCGGTTCCCTCACTGCAAGAAGCCAAGTTACAGGGAACCAGGCAGAGGGCCTTCTCGGTAGTGGCACCCGCTCTGTGGAACACCCTCCCAACAGATGTCAAAGAGAACAACAACTACCAGATTTTTAGAAGACAGCCCTGTTTAGGGAAGCTTTTAATGTTTAACAGACCCCTGTATTTTAATATTTTGTTGGACGCTGCCCCAGAGTGGCTGGGGAAACCCAGCCAGATGGGCGGGGTATAAATAATAAATTATTATAAATTATTATTAACACCTGTCCAGCTTTGTTCCTACAGTGATAGCTGCTGTGGCAGTAGTAGCAAGCAGGAGGGCAAAGAGAAAGGTCTCTCTTCCCCTCCTCCCTCCTGGTAGCACCCTTGCCTCTTCTTACCTTGGCATGTACATTACTAGCACAAGGATCCATGGGAAATTAATATTATCCCAGGGCTCCTGTTTCCATACTAGGATTATCAGGTTCCCTGGACCTCAACCAATTATATTTTCAGGGGTCCCTAGTATCAGAAATGCAACCATTCCAGGTCCCAGAGAGGAGAGAAGACCCATGCCGCAGCTGCCACCACCATCAATGGAGAAGAAAGGATGCTCTGTTCCATCACACATACCACTACTGAATAGAGGGTTGCCTAAGGTCACCTACTGGTTCAGTAGCTGAGGTGGGATATGTGCTGGAGATTGGGGCCTCTCCAGTTCACAACTTTTGCTCTTTGACACAGCTCTACAGTAGAGCCTGTAAATTCTGCAATCAGAAAAGCAGCAAAATAAAGGCTTATGGGGGAAAGCAATGGGAGAGGCTCTGCTATCTGCTTATGATTCTGGTGGTGGTGGTGAGGAGGTATGTTAGAAAAGACAATGCATTCCTGGTGGTAGCATCCTACCTGTGGAACGTCCTCACAGGTAAAATCAATTGTCCCCCATCAGGCGGAATTTGAAAATTAACCTATTTCTTCGGCCTTCAGGGTTCGGATGATATTAAGGAGGTATTGTCTGCTGGTTTGTTTGAAAATGTAATATATTATTTTGTGTTGTTTGCCATCTTGTGCTCCTTTTTTGGAGGAAGGGTGGGATATAAAAATGAGAACCTGAGAAACTTTAGTTTTGGAGTATGAAAATAAGGAGTTAGCCCCCAAACGTTAAAAGTTTGGATGGAGGTCAGCTCAAAAGACAATTGATACTGGAAAGAAACCAGAAAAAAGAAGAATCTGGAACAGATATAGATCCTCCTCCTGCTTTGTTAGTTCTTTATCCATCTTCCACCTGCAGAAGATAGACCTTTCTGCTTTTTCTTCACAAGGCAGCAAAGACTTGATGGGACTTAGCATGAAAACTGTAAAAGAGGCTTCCTATTTTAATAGCTTTAAATGGACAATAAGCCAGAACAATTCTTTCTCTCTCTCTTTGCTTTTGATGAAGGCTGAAAGAAAAGGGGATAACATGGGAAGAAACTATTTCTAGAAATAAGTGTGCGGTCAGGTTTAAAAAGTAATAGAAACTCCTTAGTGATGAAAAGCAGAATAGCTTATCAGACAATTAAAATAAGGGCATATCTGCACAGGGAGCCGGATTATTCTAGTCCCGTGAGCTTCTTGCATTTTCTGAAGCTCATACAAAATATACATGGCACCAATGCAGTGCTCTGCATGACAGATTAAGGGGGAAAGAAGGTCAGTCAGTGTTCTCAGTACAGAATGATGCCATTCCATTTTCTAATGTTGCAGGTATTTCTGTTACAAGCTGGTCATTGCTAGTCTGTGATTTCCCACTCCCCAGCCATCAATGAATGTTTCAAATGTTTACAAGCATTATTACAACTT